AGACCAAATATAGGGACTATTGTCATGATTTGCCCATTTTTTAAAGTGTTCTTATATTAATTACAAATCATTGCAATTTTTTAAGTGAATTTCCACTTACCCGTTACAAAGCTAGATTAGAAGATCAAATTGAAATATTTTATACATTGGGACTAAATTTACTCAATTTAGATTACCAAAATGTCACAAACAACCTAGTTTAGGACTAAAAATATAATTTACCCTTTTTAATTTGAAACAATGTTGATGAATGTTGGGTGCAGAATTTAAAAAATCACTTCCCTTTCCCATTGATGACAGTAGTTTAACTCTAAGGTTTTTTTTTTTTTTTTTTTTCCCCTGAAAATATGGGATGTTATTGGTCAAAAGGGATACGAGAAGGTATAGAGTTTTTGGTAATGCAAGAAGTATGGGCTGAAAAGGGGAAAACAGTAATAGGAGAGGTTTGAGGGAATTAAATATCATAGTCAGGGGTCAATTATGATGTTCATCCTATGGTGGCTAGGGACATTCCCAATGCTTGATCAAGATAGTTAATTGGAATGTGAGAGGACCTAGGTCCATTGCAAGGAGCATTCTATTGGAGGTCTAAAAACAATAGTTTCTTGATATTGTTCTACTTCAAGAAACAAAAAATTGAAGAGTTCGATATAAGGCTAGTTAGGAGTTTTTTTTTTTTGTTGGTGGGTGGGGTTGTTAATTGTTGCGATGAGGGGTAGTCTTACAAAAAGAAGTGTTGATAGGAGATTTTTCAGTTTTGGTGAGGTTTGTAGACCTTGATGGATCATAATGGTGGTTAACCAATGCGGACGGTGGTCCGAATAGTTCGAGGTTGAGCACCTTTTGGGATGAGTCAGGTTGTCTTCTTGGGTTGTGTTCTGCTAATTGATCTTTGGGCGGGGGCTTTAATGTCATTAGGATTTTGTCAAAAAAGTCCAATAGGATTAGAGTCACTGGGAGTATGAGGGATGATTTACTTGATCCTCATTTATTTAATGTTAGATTTACTTGGTTTGACTTTCAAGAAAATTTGGTCTGTAAAAAGCTGGATAGATTTCTTCTCTCTTTAAGATTGGAGAATAGGTTGTCAAGTGCAAGGCATGAAGCACTTCCAATAGTACTGTCTGATTATTGTCCAGTGGTGTCAAAAACTTGAACATGTAACTGGGGTCCTCCTATTAGGTTTGATAATACGAGATTGGATCATTCTTTGTTTTTGAGAGATTTTAGATAGTGGTGAGAAGAATCTGGAGTCCATGGGTAGGAGGGTTTTAAATTTACAAAGAAGTTGAGAATGGCTAAGGGAAAGCTTGAGTGTGGAATAAGAGGAATTTTGGAGATTTGAGGGAAGTGAAAAATGAGTTGGTGAAAAGAATTGATGAATTTTATAGATTAAAGGTTTTGCGGGGAGATGGATGAAGTGCTTAGAAAGGAGGGATCAAGGATGAAAATTGAGTTTAAGAAAAATATTTAGAGAAACATTTTTTTGGAATGAAAATGCTTAGATAAAGTAGTTAAAAGACGGGGATACTAATTTCAAATGATTTCATAAGGAATAAATGAAAATAAGAAAAAGAAGTTCATTAAGAAATTGGAGTTTGATTCTTGAAGGATCACTGAGAGGGAAGATCAAATTGTATTGACTTTTTTCCCTTGAACTTAAAAAAAATAAAAAAAATAAAAAAAAAAACTCTTCGGGTTAGATTTGTAACCCTATTTTAAGAAATTGGAGTTTGATTCTTGAAGGATCACTGAGAGAGAAGATCAAATTGTATTGACTTTTTTCCCTTGAACTTAAAAATAATAATAATAAATAAAATAAATAAATAAATAAACTCTTTGGGTTAGATTTGTGAGATTGGGAATTTGGGGTCTGGAGTGGTTTCCAATTAGTCAGGGGAGGTTCTCTTGGCTTGAAGACCATTTGAGGAGTTGGAAATTATAGAAGTTATTTTTTTATTCTAAGAGAGAGAAATCACTAAGCTCGGATGCCTTTACCATTGCTAGTTTCCAAGATGGTTGGGAGGTGGTTAAGGATTTGATTGAAGCTTTTTAAGAGTGGGATTGTTAATGGATTGACCAATGATTCTTTTAACTATTTGATCTCTAAGAAGGTGTGAGTTCTTTGAAAATTGGGATTTTGAGTCCTATATTACTTTGGTTATATGGTTGTACAAGATTTTCGCGAAAGTGTTGGCCAGAAAACTGAGAGCAGTTTTGGGAGATTCTCTATTTCTATTTCAAAGCGAGCTTTTCTTAAGGGCCATAACATTTTCGATTTGGTTTTGGCTGCAACTGAGGCAGGACAGGAATAAAGAATCATGCAAAACAAATGGTGCTCCCTTTCATTCTCATTTGGCATTGGTGCAGGATTTCATGGACATTGGTGATAGAGCCACACCTGTTTATGCATTTCATGTTTCTCTTACACTGTTAGATTAGAGCTCATCTATAACTGTAGGGATTCAAACTTCTAATGTGAACAAGTTCGTGGATTTTTTTTTTCTTGGTTTTCTTATGAACCCAAACCACAATCCAATTGGTAACCTACAAACTTGATAGTACTCAAACATATATAAACCCACAGTTGATAGTCTTTTGATTATATCAGATAAAAATTGATATGTAATCATTTTATGTATGTTGGATTCGGACCATATGACAAGTGAATATCAATACCCAGTCTTGTCTGCATGTGGACAAATCTGCTTGTATATTGTTATGGTATCTTGTCCTGAATCTGAGAACACAAAAATTGTTGCAACGTAGTTGTATCATAAGTCTTCTATGTAATAGCATATTTTTCTGGATAACAGATTTAGCGAAATTCTGTGGGATAGCTGCAGTAAATCTGTTACAGAATGTACCAGAACCAACTACCGAGCATATCTGAATCAAAATTCATAGGTTATTATCCTGTTCCGTTGTGCATAAACTAATGTTTTCGGTTATGCAGATATATTTATCCTGTGATAATAGCTCTTGCACTGTTCATGTTTTCTTAATTTGCTTTGTCATGCCTTCTTCATGGTTTTGTTCGCACTGTTTGTTTATTGATAGGGGTCACCTTTACCATATCCTGATGTGTTTCAATTTTGTATGGATACAGTCGAAAGAAAGAGCAGGGAAGCCTGAATATTGGATCATGAAGAAAATGAAAATCGAGGAGAAGAAGAAAGATAAGAATGAACTTGTGCGTTGGCAAAGTTCCATGTGGATAGATGAAGCTGAATTGGTGAAGAAGGTACTAGAAGCCATTGTTGATACTACTCCCCTTTGAGTACTAGGAAGCTTACATCAAATCAAATTACTAGGACACAACACTATCCATTTTTCAAAAAAATGTCTGTTAGAGGCAACCTTTTCTTCCCATTTTGTTTGTAATCGTTTTCAGTAACATGATGAATGCCATTTTTCCCCCACCTTTTCTTGAGTATTCATTGCGATGATAGGGTTATGTTTTTACTACTCAATGGACATGACAAGATTATCCTTTTACCCTTTAGTTATATTCGTATCACCAATTACTCGGTTACACTTTTCAACTGAGTCGTCAACTCACTCTCTTCTTACTTGACACCCACTGCCCATGCCCACCCCATCAGAGCCAATCACCACCTCCACCTTTGCCCAACCTACAAAGCACATTGGCAACGAACATCCCAGTAGATAAATAGTGCCTCCATTTCCATCCCACCACCATCAAAACACCAAAATTGGCCATGGTCTCCATCTGAACACCTGAACCATTTATTTATGCACTAATTGACAATATAATGCTTTGAGAATAACCAGCCATCACCATTGCAGATCATTCCTTTCAGTTATGTGTGTTGTTACTGTGATTGGCTGCTAGTGACTGGTGGCGTTGACAGTGCTGGGTGATGAAGTTGTGTATTGAGGTGGTGGGACGGGAGGTGGTAGCAGCGGTGATTGAGGAAGGGTGGGAGTTGACATCAATGACTTGTGAGCTGTGGCTAACGGAGGGGCTGTGGGGGTGGCTCAGGATTGTGAGGCTAGTTTTGCACATTTTTGTGTTTTTAAAGAAGTTTTGGTTTCCTGACCATAATGAAATTCATCTTGTTAGAGCCATGAAAGTTGAACAAAACTGAAGTTGCACCAACTGTGCCTTCCTACTATTCAGTATCTCAAGAATTGAAGTCAAAAACTTCTATGAAATAGTTTCACGGGATTCAGTCAATTGTATTGATTGTGGAATATCGTTGACAAATAGGAATCCACATATCAAAGGATTTCCTGTTTTTAGTATGGAATGAGTCAATCATCTACTTTGATATCTTATTGAAAAAGAAAAGGTTACATTGCCCCTCCATTGATCTTGATCTTGATCAGTGTGACAGATACCACAATAGTTAACAAGAGGGTGTATTTTACAACAACAATGATTCATCCTACTAATTTGGGAACACTAATTGACCACTAATGAGGTGAAAATTCAAAAAAAAAAAAAAAAAAAAAACTAATGAGGTGAGAAAAAAAAAAAAAAAAAAAAATCCCATCATATAAAACCCACACCACTTAATAACACCACTTTATAACTATTAGTGCTCCTTTTTTTAGTGATCTCACTCATTTTTCATTTTACAAAAGGACCTGTAGAGTGTGGTACTGCACTCTGCCAGCCAGTGAAAGCTGTTCCACATCGACAATGAAAATTGGTTTACAAGAAATTTTTGAAAACATGTGACTTTATAAGAAACATGATTTCATGAAAATTACTTTCACGCAAAAAAAAAATAAAAAATTATAGTATCTTTTGAACTTATTGTTTTTTGTTTTTGAAAACATAAAAAACAAAAATAAAGAAAACAAGAGCGAAAACACAACTAAACATGCTCAAGTTTACACGATATGAGATTTCTCCGAGTAAAATGGGGAATGCCAAGCTAATAACCGAACAACATTGAAATTGTCTAAAAATGCACCCAGCAAAAGGTAAACAAATAGAGTAGGTAAATGTGAAATATGAGAAACTGACATTAATAACAATCAAATCCTCAATAATACCATTGCTGTTAAAACCCTCAATTCAAAAGACTAAGCATAGAGATTATAATGTAACTGATTACACAGCCACAAAACTGAATCTGAAACGACAAACAACGTCCCAGTAACAACCTTATCCACAAATTCTAGCAGTTGAAGCACACAAAACTATGTTACATTGGGATGACCGACCACTAGTTTTCAACTGAAGATTTAAACACTATCACAATCACCAAAATTAATAAATCATATCATTTACATTACATTGGTCAAAGTGAGGGGAAATCAAAACAAATAAGAAAAAAAGAATGAACTGTGGTTACTTGCTAAAGTTCACATGCCAAAACACTATGCCTACCTCGCTTGAGAGACTCAGTTTTCTCACCTGGTAACTTCTTTCACTGGGCCTTCGGTTTTTCAATCTTCACGTAGGGCAATAGCCCCATGAAGTGGAGAACTTGTGGATTCCATCCCAGTTGCTGAGCACGACAGAACATCAAGAACGTGTTTGCAAAATAGGAGTTAAAACACATTAAGGTGTGCCATAAAGCATGACCTTGTGGATTGAAGTACCAGCGAGAAATCTCCTCACAGAGCAGACTATCACAAAGCCAGCAAATACTCCCTAGCAAAAAGGTGATGAGACATGACTTCGCAAGACGCTTTGCAGATCTATCTTGTGTGTGAATGTAGTATTTGTACATCCGGGGAATGCAGAGAAGACAGAGTACCACGTAATGCACCTTAAAGCCAATTTCAAAATGGACCAGTGAATGCACAAGGGCAAATACTGCACCATAGATGAAAACGAAGGTAGGCATTGTACTCCTGTAATGCCAATCCGGTGAGTACAAGATGTAGATATAGAGGAGCAATTCCCATACCATTGGGGTTTCATCACCTTGCTGTTGCCTGAAATTGAATCAGAACTTATGCTCATGATCACAAAGATCACAAAGAGAATGGGCAATTTTTAATTTCGTATAACATCCATTAAGAGAATGGACATTGCTTAAGTTTTGGTTTCATTCATCAAATGTTTAGCTTAGTACAATGCTAGCCAGTTCTATTATGCTTATTAATTTTTTGGAGCCAAGGGTAATTTTTCTGCAATTTCACTGAAGAGAAAGACTGGACTAGTGTCCCATGGATCTTATTTCAGCTCTTGTTAGTCAGTCCTTTTAGTGGTCTTTACTAAGTCTAGAATATCCTTAGTTGCTTACAATAACCATCATTGAGTTTCCTAGTACTATCTGATATTTGATTCTTTGGAATCATCATCACTGTCACAAATATTGCCAAAAGCGAAATGAGAAATTTGAGGGTGGCAGAGTAAGAAATGAAATTCAATCCTTCATTGTTGCCGTCTATTCTTGCTGGAAAGTTCCTGATTTATTGAGTAGTCAGATCAATGTAGAAAAACTCAAAACTCAGGCTCAAATGTCAGCAAGTAGGGTTAACATTTAACAGACTTGATTGAGTCAAAAACCAAGTTAGATTTTTTTTACACATATGTATTTATGTATAGATATGGACACATGTAGGTGTGTGTGCGTGTATGCATAAGCATGTGTGTTTACGTTCAACAGATTTTCTTTTTCATAACTTTATGTTCAGAGCTCAGACCTAATTCAAACTGCCAAATTGACTATATTATTGTTCATAAGTATAAAATTCAAAATCCAGGTCAATCAATAATACACTTATCCACCAGACTTGCCCAAAAAGAAATAAAAAAAACAATAAACTTACCAGGGAAAAAAGGAACACAAAAACACAAGTCACAATCAATTATGTCTTTAGATAGTAATTTAAATCAGGTTTAAACTTTGAATGATAAGCATCAAATACTACAATTGTGATTTTAATGCACAATCGAAGTTGTGTGTCAACTCAATATAATCGAGCATTTGCTTTGACTTGACATCTTGACCAAGTTGGCATCTAAACTTAGGGTACAATCAAGTCAATCATCAAGTAACTCACAAGCAGCTCAATTTGAGTTTTTTACACGGCCCCGTTTGGGAATAGACTATTTTAGTTGGCTATTTGACTTTTTACGAAAGGACGTGTAAAAAAGAAGAGAGAGTGATGTAATGGGGTGTTTTGTTCTATTGGCTATTTTAGCCTGGCATGGGCTAAACAATGATCTGAATGAACCAGTGACAACAATATTTGAAAACACAAAGTCAACGAGGTTACTTTTGGATATCATTTTTCAGTTCTAGTACTCATTTGATTGCCTGAATATAGTGGTGACAACTATATCTGAAAACATGAGAGCAATGAGGTTATTTTTGGACACACTATTTTACAGATTACATCCAAGTAATCTGACAAGCCCAAATAAATCCAAGAAAGCAGGGAGATCACTCCAATCCAACAACAGAAAAAGTATATGATCTGGTGGTAACTATAACTACTGTCCCCATATATGAGTAATGTTATTGCATATCCAGGTACAATAACAGAAATATTCTGCTCACTTTCATCTACACTAGCCATGCTACTGAAACATTCTCTTTAAAAATATTTACATTACTAAATCTTTTTTACAAGGCAAGTCTCTGAACTTTCAATTCTATTTACTTCATGAAATTTTGTATAGCTTGGGCTATTAAGAGCATGCAACCCTGGGTTTAAGTGCAAGGCTGTCAGACACTTCATGCCGTTCAAGCATCCCAGATTGACAGCCCAATATGGCAATATAATAAAAATTCTCAAAATCTAGACTAATAAGCAAGTGGCAAAATTTATAGAAAAGTGCCTGAATTATATATACATATATATATATGATAGTTAAGTGCCCTGCAATTTCCTAATATGTAGTTCACTGGTAATACATTGGTATTAACATACGGAGCCCATATATTGGACCCCACAATACTTGATTAAAGAAAAGAGATACATTTGGAGAACACTAGTTTAACCTGATCAAGGTGACTTGAATAATCAAAGCACATTATCAAAAATGATTGCAGTTTTCAAGCTTATGGACTTCCAAGATACTTGAAAAGGTGGAGTAGACAAGTCCAAGAAATTTGCCAACAAGTAAGAAGCTAACATGAAAACACCATTTGGAGCATGTCATGTTTGAATATAACTCTGATTACATCAAGAAAATGATACACTCCAGGATGATTTAAAGCCAGGGACTAACCTGACCTAATTTCATAAATTTAATTGTAAGAACTTGACAACTAAATAATTCGTAGGGAACTCCCCCACTGGAAGAATTATACTTACACTAAGGATGATGATTGTTTCATCTTTGGTCATCAAGCCATACTTACAAATTACACTAAAGAAATGGCTCCTATATTTACAATGCTTAAAAATAAAGAATAATGTTATGTATACCTTATAAACCAAATTCAACTGCTAGATTATGGTCTAAATCAAACCAAAATGATATCATAAGTTCATAACTCATATGGTACACTGAAACTGCATTTTTGAATATAGACTGAACACCTGCACTTGGGAACAGGGGTGACCTGGGGTTCAATCTCATGAAACCAAATTCAAAAGCAGTTGGATTCAATTAACAATTAATATGCATGAATACTCCCAGATCCCGGTACTAATACCGTCACCATCTCAACAGCCATCATTGCCACAGCATCACAGCCCCCAAATTCAAAACTACCACACTACAACCACTTCCCAATCACCACCGCACCATAATCCTCAATTATAATGACATAAACCCACTGCCTGGACTTGTAAATAAATCAAACTATGGCATGATTGCACAGCTCAAACAGCAGTTCCTTATTTGACAGACCACTTTACAATTTACATCTACATACCTGATAATGAACCAAGTTCAGAAATATCCTGAACCTAGCCTATTAAAAATGATAACATAATCGAGAATGCATGTAGATTTAGTCAGACCTTAATAATATTGAGAAGCTTACTGAGCCAGATAAATAACAAATCAAAATAAAACAATACTACATGAGATCGAATTTTAAATCATCCCTAAGTGGACCAAATTTGGTGGTGCTCTACTTGAAACCAAACAGGACACATAAGGAGGTATGTATAATATTAATATCACATTAAGGTTATAAACTTGATGTGATAAGAATGTCTTTAAATTTTGTTCATTCATAATGTTCAAAGGACCAGTTCTAAAGCTAACCACCATTTAGAAAACAAAATGCTCCTACACAAAAACAAAAAATACTGTGTGCCTTTTTGCTTTTCTAAAGACCTCTTCATCCATGATGCACTGAATCAAAATCATACATTTTGCAAGAATGGGAAACAAAGTGTCCAATCAGTAAAGAGTAGGCACAATCTCAATGAAATATCCCCCAAGTATTCTATGAAAACTGTATATCAGAACAAAAGTCTGCAAGAATATTACTCTAACAACAGAGTTTTTCCTTAGTAAGTCTAAAAACAGCAAATTACTATTAATGCAGCAGTCTCTGATTGTGGACAAGTGTGTATGTACTATACTGGATAACATATCATATAGAATGCTCATATAACTCATGTTACAAGCCTTCAAACACCTAAGTAGTAAAAAACACCAATACGTGTCAGGATGCAGGGTAGTACCTATAAGTATTCTCTGTTCCTCACTCACTCTAAGGATCTACTGTATAAAAGGCCCTCAGTATATATAATAAGAAGCATCTCTTCTTTCCCTTATTTAACCCATATTTCAGCTGGTTTAAATAGTGGTTAAGGGTTTTGTTGTCTAAATTAGCATCTATATCTGTCATTGTATCTCTTCTTTCCCTTATTTAATAAAATTTCTTTTTACTGCTGACCCACAAAAAAATAATACTAATAATTAAAAAAAGAAAAATAAAACCGAAACTAGAGGCCATCAGACAAGAATACTAACACTTTCTGCAGTGTGGCATGGAATAACATGCTCCCAATATCAAGAATCATATTTGATATGTGTAAGACAGTAAATCTTTTCTCAAAGCGTTGCCTCAAGGCATTCACAAGACCAAAGAGTGCCAAGATAATGCCTGGGATATTTGACATAGTGTTGAAAAGCTCTGCAATATAAGAAGAGTAGGCGTAATTCTGCTCACACCAATCAGTGGTGGACGTAACAGGACCCCAAAAGCTTGATATTCCACCTGCCATACTTGAATATATATCCCTAGAGAACAATATTGTACAACTGGAACAGCTAGTGTCAAGATGTCACTTTGGACGCACAGAAACCGGAATTTATGTACCTGTAAAAGCCACATGAGAAGTAAAATGGATTAATCCATTTAGTAGTTTTTTTTTTTTTTTTTTTTTTTTTTTGGGAGGGGGGGGGGGGGGGGGGGGGGGGGAACACTTCAATAGAAAACCAAATCTTTATGACTGAGTAAGAAATAATTTGGCATACTACCAGATGATAATTTCAACCAACTTTACAAAATAAAAATAAAAGATAAAAAAGTCGATAACATTATTTTGGGTATTCTTGTCATTTCTAGCTATAATGATAATAGCTCATAGTTTGGTCCTTACGCGGATCGGTTTTGTGCGGTTTGCGGTTCGGTTTTGATCCGCCCGCATTTATGCGGTTTGGGAAAAAGTCAACCCGCAACCAGCCGCAGTGCGGTTTGCGGTTTATGCGGATAGGGTTTACAGATGTGTGGGCGGTTTGCGGTTTACACTTTTTTCTTTAAAAATTAATTTTTGAGTTTTTTTTTTCCCCATCGAATTTAGGCATTAGATTCATTTTATATATTTGTGATCATTTGACAATAATTTTCTGATGAGTTTACAAATAAAAATTGAATATCAATGCATTAAATGAAAGTACCCAAAGCAAAGAGACCCTACACTAGCATTTTTGCCATGAAAAAAATGTATATCAATGCATTAAAGGTTGTACTCAATTAGAATTGCTAGTTCAGTAATCAATAATCAATAATCAATAATCAAACTAGAAGCTCCATTGACCACCAAAAGGAAAATTTTATTAGGAAAAAGTGGATGAGTCACCAATGAAAATCATATAAGAAACCAAGTTTAGGACTTGATAATTCTACGTCATTAAGATAGTTGAGAAATACTTAAAAGATCCTAGTGTCATAGAGAACATAATGGTGCTCCTATTAAAGTTACAAAGTTGGTATATAAAAAATAATAATAATAATAATAATAATTAAAGTGCGGGCGGTTTTTGCGGGTTGGGGGTTTAACCCGCGACTCGCCCGCAACCCACAAATTTGTCATATTTCAAATCGCATCCGCCCGCATTATGTTTGCGAAACCGCCCATTTATATGCGGGTTGAGCGGTTCGGATAAACCGTTGCCCACCCCTAGATTTTATGGTTTCAGTAGTCAAAGTCTAGTATCGATTCCAAGTACCAGAGTTATGATTTCCTATGCATCCTTATATTGCTATGTAATGCTTCCAAAATAAATAGAGATCAGTTTACTGAAATTTCCAGAGTGTTGAATCCTTTGGGGTCTATGTTATACAAATAAAAACATAAGCCAAAATAAATAAGGAAAAGCCAATAAAAAATAGCACACATTTAACGTGGGACAATAGCAAAAACCGAATTTATGTACCATTAGCCACATAAGCTGTATTAAACCCATATAGCATATGCATATGTTCTGGACATTGAAAACAAATCAATACAACACAAAGAAGCAGTACAACACACTATACACCATGTGGAATTCCAGAATGGTACAGGGTCATCCTTCGATGACACAATTAACAAGAATATATTTGTTGCACAGAGTTTGGGCATGGAAGCATATTCATGGAACAAACGGCAAGTCCAACTTATATTAAATATGATTTTCCAAATAAAGCGAGTGAAGTAATCTATCACGGAATATGCCAACAGAATTCATATTTTATTAAAATTATCAAGCTTTCAAACACAAGGGATCTCTGCTACAGTATCAAAAAACATGAAGAGACAGAAAAGAAAGAATCAAAGGTCCACTTATCTCAGCATGTGTATATACAGACTTGAAAATTCATAGTATCTAACATCAGTTATTAAACTATCGTTATGGAAATAAAACACGACCCCCGTCAGAACCATACAAGAAACCCACCCTAAGGAATTATGTGGTAGTAGAAATTCATATTTTACATTATATATTAGCAAGTGAGACACAAAAACATCCATGATGTATCCCACTAGTGACTTGCAACCTTCCTTTCCCTGCAGGGAAGCAGGAGATACCATTCAAGGTAATAGCTATATTACACTCCCTCCGTCCCAATTTGTTTTTCCTTCCTTAAAAACTCCAACTATTTAAGGGAACAAGCAATAAATGCTTTCACATTCAAATACAATGTAATACTATTACACTACTCATCAAAACTACCTACATTCACACTCATTACACTTATTTATAAAGTATAATTTGGGAAAGTCATGAAATTTATGCTTTGACTTTTCAAAGTGGCCTAGTATTTTGGGACAATCCCAAAATGGAAAGGAATGCCAACAATTTGGCATGGAGGGAATATAATATATGTAAAGGCACCAAAAGGGGTGCCACCCATATGCATTATAAGGAGACAGAAAAAAATAAAATAAAATAAAATAAAAGATGTATGTATACATCAATTCTTACTCAAAGGACTCTGCAAAGCCACTAAATGGTTTGTTCAAGAGTAACTTATCCTCCTTTCCTTTTCTTTTGGAATATTTTTCTTTTTTCCTTTTAAGAAACAGGTTAGTCGTCCAACTAGTAGAAACCAAGATATTAAAAAGAGAACAAATTCCAATGCACAACTCTTTAGCTTAAAAATGACATGTCTCTTTTCTTGGTTTTCTTGTTACGGGTGGAAAACCACATATCAAGAACAAGCTAATTCAGCTCGATAGTGTCATCACTCATGCAACTCTATAACACCGCCCCCGCCCCCAACCCCAACCCAAAAATTAAGAGCTCTGCAACTCTCAACCGTGAGAACAATATGATATCACAAACACAAAGTTCTTTTATTCATAAGGAAGTGGTGGGTAAATTGTGCACCTTAATAACAGACCTTTGATCATGGTAGATTCCACCTTATTACCAAATGTAAGTATTTTACGTAGGACTAACGGAAAGATAATATGGCAACTAATATGGTTTGGATATTGAAAAGGAGTATTTCATCAATAACAACTATATTTCCATTTTTTATTGAAATTTTAAAATATTAAATAAATGTAGCTTTGTGATTTAGAATTTGGTGACTCTCTCTCTCTCTCTCACACACACACACACACACACACACACCCCCACACCCCTGGACCCACACACCCCTTATATCCAAGAGGCACAAAAGTCTTTTCATGCACCCCCACACCCTTCTATCCACTCTCTTGGCTCTTTTACTTCCCTTTCTTTTACAAAGAACAAAAGGATCAAGAGCTGCTTTGTACCCTCCATCCCCTCCCTCTCTCTTCAACCTCTTTCGTCTCTCTGTTTCACATTACAAAATAAAAACAATCAGCGTAATCTGTTTGCCCACCACATCTTCCAAGGAAATCATTAAATCTGGATTACATCATTGAATGACCATTCAACATCCAAGTTTTGCTCAAGAAAAAACTAAAATGGAACAATTTTGAGACTTCTCCCCCAACTTCACCAATGGAAATAGGTATATCGATGAACCAATAATATACCTAACAATAGGGTTGCAAACCAGCCGAGTTAGTGAAAAGCTCGATGTTCGGCTCGTTTATAGCTTGTTTAAACTCATTGATTACAAAATGAACCGAACTCGAGACATAACATCACGCTCGATTATTAAACAAGTCAAGCCCAAGCTCAAATAAGCTCGACTTGGTTAGGCTTAGCTCAAATTTTCTAATAATAATGTAAATAATATTAATCAGTGTGTTCAGTTTCAGTTTCTTGAATTCAGTTTTCTGAAAATTGAATTTTTTGTTTTTCGTGTTTTTTTGTTTTTAGAGAATATTTTCTAAATTTTAAGCAATTTTTTTACTTTTTTAGATGTACCTTACTTAAATGTATCTAAATAGTAGAATATTTGTGAAAAAATATTTTACAAAATTAATAAATACACAAAAATATGAAAAATATACTGAATTTTCGTATTTTTTTTGTATTTTTTGGTATTGAGTGTATTTTTTAAAGATTTTTTTTTTTTACAAATATTATATTTTTTAAGTGTATTTATGTTAGGTGTGTCTAAAAAATTTTAAAAAAAATGCTTAAAATATTAAAAAAAGGGTAAATTACACTAACCTCCCCTGAGGTTTACCTTAAACACAGGTACCTCCCATGTAGTTTAAAAAATAACACTGACCTCCCTTACTTTTGAAAATAATACACAGATTTTCCCTGCTGTTAGAAGAACGTTAATAAAGTAACAAAAACAGTGATATCAGTCACAATAAACATATACATGCCCAAAATACCCGTGTCAATACACTCACTTCTAACTATAATAATAATAACAATAATAATAAAAAGCTTTGTCTCTATCATTGATGTTCCAAACAGCCTCTCTTCGTCCCCTTATACACATTGCACATCCATTTCACAATCCTAGCCTACCCATCTCCATCTCCATCTCCATCTCCATCTCCATCTCCATCTTCCAAAAGCTTTGAACACTTCATCTTCTCTATTTCCAATTCTCTTTAAACCCACTCTCTCTCTAAAATGGGAAACTGCATCTCTTGCACCCTATCATCCTCACCAGGCGAAGCTCCAATAGTAATCTTCCCAAATGGCAAAACCCAACAATTCCACCAACCCACCAAAGCCACCGAACTCATGATCGAGAGAGAGAGAGAGAGTGAGGGGGGTCTTCTTCGATCACAACTGCTGCCTCCACAGCGGATTCCAATCCCTTTACGGCGGCAACTAAGTCGCTGACCACTACTCCCTTACTTCGGCCGCGATTCTACGACGGCGGCGCAATTGAAGACGCTGGCGCGACAGAGGACACTGATCGACCAATGATGCTGGAGTCCGATGACGCGACCGACGACGGGGCAGAGGGCGACTCTCTCTCTCTTATCTTCTCTCTCCTCTTTTTGCCGTCTCTCTCGCAGCATCGTCGCCACCGCTTTGTTCTTTGATATGTTGAATCTCTCTCTCTCTGTGTTCAAGTTTTTTTGTGATTTTATTGTTAGATCTGCAACTCTAGATTTGGTTTATTTCTTTGTTGATGGTCAACATAAAGAGACTCAATTCCGACGCCAACGAGAAGAGAGAGAGATTCCAACGCTTACCTCATGTTCCCTATGAAGAGACTCAATTCCGTCATCAATGCCGCCGACTTCGGCCCACTCTTCCTCGTGGCCAAAAAGGTCTTCGGCAGCGGCAGAATTGTTAAGGTGGCACCGGAGCGGGAGAAGGAGGAGAAGGATGACGTGGGCGATGGCTTGGCAATGGAGTTTATGAAGTGTAGGTTGCTTGTGTGCAGGTTGAGGAAACCGGTTGTTGGAGACAATCGTGGAAGAACCGATTTGGTCGAGATGATGGACGATGTTGATGAAATGGGTTAATTCCTCTGTTTTTTTTATCAAGGGTATTATGGTCATTTCGACTGTGAACTTAACGTCGTCCATGCTCTTTTAACGAGAAGGGAGAATCTGTATATTATTTTCAAAAATAGGAGAGGTCAGTATTATTTTTTAACCTACATGGGAGGTCCCTGTAATTTACCCTTAAAAAAATTCATTGAAAAAATTAAAACATGGAAAATAAAATAGTAGAATTTTCTAAAAATCAGAACCAAACAAGCTGAATAGTTTTTGCACTATCTTCCAAATGAACACGACCAAATTGTTAATTGTTTTTAATTAAATTATATATATATGTGTGTGTGTGTGTGTATTTGTATATATTATATTCATTTTTATTTATTTATTTATATTCACAGGAGCTACTAACATGCACGTGCAAGTGAGGAGGGCAATACTAGATGCCAAGTGGACCACTTCAAGCCTTCAAGAAAGATAAAGACACCAGATGTGGGATAGAGAACGTGTTAGCTCTCATAAATGTCATAAATGACATTATCAAGTAAGAACCTCTTGTTCTAAAATGCTTTACGTCCCACATTGGCCTTTTAATGAGTTTGATAGACACAAAACTTCTATATATGTGCAGAGGGAAGGAGCAGAACGTACTGTGGCATTGTTAGTACTAACAAATCGAGCTAACTCGAACCGAGCTCGAGCTTGGTAGTTACTTTGCAACCCGAGGTCAGGTTCAGTTTTATGGCTCAATTCAAGTTTGAGCTAATCTAAAACACAAGAAAAACAAATCGAGGTGAGCTCGAACACAATAAAACTTGATTGGGCTTAGCTCGTTTACATCCCTACAAAACAAACATGCATGATACTGCTGGCTACTCTATATTCTAGTACCCCTAAAGGATATGATTAGAAAAAGGTTTATAAATACAAAATTAGCACTAGTGACAACTTACATCTATACTTTCTTTTTTTTTCCTTTCTAATCAAAAGCATTTATAATGGCCAAGTCTTCGCAAAACTACATAATACATATCATCATGAATCAAGTTTACATATTATAAATACAAAATTAGCATTAGTGGATAATAAAGGTTGCGTTTGGTAGAGTTTTAGAATTATGATTTGAGAATAGAGTTGTATTTTGAATTTGTGAGTTTTGAAATTATGATTTGAGTGTGAAAATTTTCTTTGGTTATGAGTTTTGAAAAGAATTTTGAATTGAGTTTGGAATAATTAATGTGACATATGATATTTTATTCAAAAACATACAACTCATAACCAAACACACAACTCAAAATTCTATTCAAAACTCATAAAAAAAATTTAAAAAATCTGAAAATATTTTTTTCTTAATATATAAAAAATAACAGGTGCCAATTGCCCCAAAAAAAAAAAAAATTGCACTATTTCGGTCAACCGGCCAGACGATCGGGTAGGCCAAATTTCAAAATTCAAATCCTGCCTGAAACAAGTTTTCAAAAGTGGTGTTGAGTTAATTTTTGAAAGTGGTAACCAAACATCATACTCAAATATGGGTGTGGAGTCATGACTTGAACTCCACACCAAATACAGCCTAAATCTTTACTTTTTTTTTTCTTTTTCCTTTTTAATCGAAAAGCACATGTAAGGGACAAGTCTTGCCACAATGTATAAAATATAGGTCATAATCAGTCAAGTTAACATATAAGAATAGTAAATAGATAGACATCAAATATTTTCCACTATATTGGGCATTTAAATTTTGCAATATCTAATAATTCAGCTTACAAAAATTCTACGGAAACTATTTCAATTTTTGGAGTTCATCAAGAGCTATATTCGTTTTTTGGGGCAAATGTCAAGTCTATCCATCCCTGGACATACTGATAACAGAATATAACAAGCACAAATTCAATTTAACACTAGCAATTAATAGACAAAAACACAAAAGTTTCAGTGAATCATGGAACCATGAGATTGATAGAAGTTTAGAACCAAAAAAAGTCCCAATAAACCTATCATAAACATTTAAACAAAAATCAACCAAAAAGTTGAATTTAGAAACAACCAAATAATTAGACCAAACCCACAAATGCAAACCCATCATCAAATACGAAGCACCAACAAGACTCTAGTCTTATCAAATGCCAATAAGTGCCTTTTTTAATCAAAGATAGTATACAAACAACTACTACTAAACAATGTTCAGAGCAAAACCACAAAATTCAAACAAATCAGACCCATCTAAAGCCTTTAAACTTAAATCACTGAATCAAATGCATCAAACTAATACCATTTTCAAAATTTTCAAAAAACAAAAAACCGAGTAAAACCCATTACAATAAAAGACAAAATTTAAAAAATTAAAAAAAAAATAGAAACTAATAACTCACCTTACAGACAAAGCAGATCTATGTTGCCCTTGTTGCATACATATATTCTGCAAGAACTATCTCCATTCTCTCTCTCTCTCTCTCTCTATGATGATGATCAATGGTTTTGGTTTTGGGTTTTGAAAAAGGAAAAGAAAAAAAGTGGGAAATGTCGAATCGAAGCACATTGGTTGGGCGAATAGAATTTGAGGCTCTCCAGAAGAGCGCGTGAGGATTTGGAATTTTATGTGACACGTGTCGTCCGGTTGGCAGTTGTGGGGTATTTAACTGTTGGATTGGATTGATGACCCGTTGAGATTGGTTTTAGGCAGATATTGCAGGCGCGGGAGTTGCGTTATTGGGGAACTATGACGGTGCGTGTCGTGTACGCGCCAGGTGTTGGAGAGTAAAAATAATTTGGTGCTCTTGGGACACGGGACGGTATTCTTGACAAATCACAAATTCTCATGCCCTTTCTCTATCCTTCATGTTCTCAATCGTTCAATACAAATCGTGAACCCCACCTTCTTCAGTAATCCAAGCATCCTTGAGACACCCTAACTTTTATTTGGATGGACTGGATAAGAAGGATTGTAATCTATCAAATTATTAATTTTAAGATATATTGTTCTTGAATTATTTGGTTGGATTTGATTTGTATCTTATGTTTGTTTAGTCATAGAATTAGATGTCAGGATTGAACTATTTTTAATTATCCAATGTTTGTTTAGAATATTATGGAGTAGAATAAATACTCAAATGACTATTTTATCATTTTCAATTATTTACCAAGTAATAACAATATTAAACATAACTTTAATATTTTAATTATTTTTAGCTAGATTAAATAAAAATTTATTTTGTTTTATTTTTTGCACAATTAAATAAATTTATTTTTTAAAAATTAAATAAATTAAATATCAATAAAAATATATGTTATTTTTTAATTAAAATTTTAAATAAATTTATTTTAAATAATAATAATAATTAAATAATGAAATAAAATAAAACATCTATTAAAATTTAAATAATGAAATTAAATAAAATATAAACAAAATTTTATAATAAAACATCAATAAAATATCTATAAAAAAATATTTTAAAAAATTAAATAAATAAAACAAAAATAAAAATTAAATAAAATTATTTTATTTTTAAATTGAAACATTTAAATTTTATTGAATTATACTAAATATAATACATAATTAAATACCAGAGGGCAAAAATATAATTTTAGTAGCTAATCTCATGGGATGAGTTATCCTATGATTTCTATCCCACCGTCCATAGGATAACATAGTTCCACAAATATGGGACTAATAGTCCAGAGAAATTATTAATCCGAATCAAAAAATTCATACCAAACAACGTAGTATAATCTTAGGTCATGTTTGATTCACAAGATTAATAGTGAAATATTAATAATCCTATTAAATTAGTGTGGTATTCACTATCCAATTGGATTAATAATCTTACCCCTACCCTATTACTAATAATCCTATAAATTTGTTGGATTAATTATCCATTAGATTAATAATCCTAAACCAAAATATTAAAACAAACATAAAATAATTGGACCCACAGATTAATAATTCCAATCTCATATTCTAATCTATCAAATCAAACATGCCCTTCATAGTGTTATTCTTCGAAACAAACATGCTCTACCTTCTCATTGCAGGGAGACCACGTCCACACTGTAGGGATTGGAAACTCCAATATTCCATTTTGGTTTCTTCTATTTGGGACGTATATTAAACGGCATTTAGGTCATAGGCCTAATTTTAAGGTTACGCAATGCCACATCATTTTAATTTTAGCTATTGGGTTATTTAACCGGCCATTCGACTTAGTCATTCAATAATAAAGTGACAATTATAATTGATAATAGTGATAATTATGATAAATAAATATTGCACTGGTCGTGCAAACGATCGATTGACAAGTACAAATATAAGTAATGTTTGGTTTAATTTTCAAAATTCAATTCTGTTTTCAAATTATAATTTGAATCAAAATTAATAACCAAACAAATTTTTAAAATACAATTCAAAAGTACTTTCAAAACTTATTTCTTCTCTTATTTATTTATTTATTATTATTAATCAATCAATTAATAATTTTTCTCTCTCTTCTCACATTCTCTTACATTCTATATATCAATCAATCAAAAAAAAAAAGAAGTATAAATCATCCCAAAACTATTTTCAAAACTCATAACCAAATAAATTTTCTCTTTTCAAATCATAATTCAAAAACTCAAAATACAACTCCATACTCACATCATAATTCTAAAACTAAACCAAACAGAGCCTCAGGCTTTCAAACAATCTCAAATTCAAATTACCAATCATTTTCATAAAGTTTTTGGGTCAATGTAAATTTAAGGGATTTTTATTGATAAATCTCATTTACAAGTGTTCTAACCCAAGAAGTCCATGAAGAAATTTTTTAACCCACTTAGTTCCATGTATTTATATATTTATTCTATAAAATCGTTTTTCTTGATTTACACTATTTTCTTAAACTCTTATGCCTTTATATTTAATATTGATATTTAATGTTGGGGGAGGAAAGAGAAGGGAAAGAACCAAGGCATAGGAAATTTCATACACAAATTAAATAACATTGATGTTATTATTTTATATTATTATATATGCGAATATATTTTTAATTAGCAGCACATTAAAAATAATGTGAACATTCTCTCTCATCTGATGTGAATATATTTTTAATTGACAACATATTAAAAATAATGTGAACATTCTCTTTCATCTGACGTGAACGTTCATAATACCTTTTTGAAAAATTCTCTCTTATTTAATGTAGGGATGTGAACGTTCACAACATGTGAACCATCTGATTTCTAATTGACAATACATTAAAAATAACTTTCATTATATTTTTAAGTGACAACACATTCTTATTCACAACATGTGAACATTCTACAACGATTCGGGTTTTGACCTGACCCATTTGATATTCCGGATTCGGGTTTAATAGTTTTAAAATGTTGTTCATTGTCATTTCCCCCTTATTCTTACTTGAGTTTGGCTATTTGATTGTATCGAGCGTGTTTGGAATAAGTTGGTTGCTTGGTTTTCAGACTCTTGTTCCTTAGGATTTTACCTATCCACTCGAGCGGGCTTTGTGAACCCTCAGTACTTTTGCAAGTCTGAAAAACTACTAGGAGAGTGAATTCTACGCTCGAGCGACATTTTCTACGCTCAAGCGGGTGGGCGCCCGAGCGGCCCTTCTTGCACTTGAGCGTTGGTCTATTATCTGCAAAACTACTAGGAGTGTGCATTATGCACTCGAGCGTCACTTCTTGTGCTCGAGCGGAACAACTTGTTGTGTCTGACGCTCGAGTGTCAACTCTTGCACTCGAGCAGACTGTGCGTATATCAGTTCGCAGCAGCCTTATTTTTCAACACTTTTTCATATCCTTCTCTCTCAAAACCCTAGATTGGCACTTTCTCTCTCCAAAACACACTCTCTCTTTACATTTTAACCTAGATCTACTGGGTTTTCTACTCTAGTGTCTTTGAGAAAAAGTTAGAGCATTCTAAGAGCTCCGTTTTGATCCGATTGAAACTTGGTTTCGGCGTTGTTGAAGGTTCCACCTTGCTTTGTTCGTCTCCTAACTTTGAGGTAGGGACTTTCTATACTCTTCTATGAGTTTTAACTTAGTTATTTGTTGATATGTAAGAAATATTGGGATTTGAGGTAGTTTTGAACAAACTTAGGATTTTGGTTTAAAACCAAAAGGGGATTTTTGAATGATCATAATGGAAATGGTAAGTAAATGTATTTATATGATAATTATATTGGTTGGAGACCTATGGGGTGTATCCTCTATTTGGTTGATTAAATGAAGTGGGTATAACTAATGAACTAAGATAAAATGGATTGGGATGTTGTAGACACCCCATTTTTGACCGCCCTTAGGACTTGGGCGCTACTGATTGTTTACTTGGTGATGAAAGTTGTGCAGTGCAAATGTTCAATTTATTCGGCAAGAGGAGCGTCAAATCCTAACCTTGCACCCCATTTTTGGACCAAGACTTTTTTGACCAAAGATTTTAGATCTTAAAACCCTCTCTTTCAAAATATTTTTGAAAAAGAAGTTTCTACGATGTTCCGAGGCTCGCATTTTGTTAAATGTCTCACTTTTCGGCAAATCGAGCAAGGACAAAGTGAAAATGAATGAAAGAGAGGTGAGCTCATTGAAAAGAATCATTAAAACATCTTGTTTAGAGGCTTGGAGTTGAAGAAAAGAAGAGGAGAGGGAAGAAACCCAGTTGGGGAAGAAGTTGGGCATGAATCGTTAAGGGAAAGTCAAGCAGCCCTCGCTAAATTGGGCCTATCCGTTTGTATACTTGGATTTCAACCATGAAGCCACCACCGTTGGAAAGAAGACTTCTAGGAATTCATTTTTCACTCAAGAATCTCCTAAAGCTGAGGCTAGATGAGGGAGATATGATTGGTTGAAGTTGGGCATCAATCCGATTGAGCTGGAAATGAGCAGTCTTCACTAAAAGAGGAATAACTTTTTTCACACTTGGAATTTTGATGTGAGGCTTCCACCATTGGAAAGCTTACTTCCGGGGCTTCAATTTGGACACAAGAATGACCTAAAAAGGAGTCCATATGAAGGAGATATGCCCATTTGAAGTTTGACTTGTAGAGTAGATTTTTGCTGTCGGCCATAAAAGTAGCCGACCGGCCACAAATGCCCAGAAAGCCCAGAATTTGCAGATATTTCTCCTGCAGCTGTTTTCACAATGCGCCAGCTGTCTTAGCTCAGATATTTTCGACCAAGGCTCCTCTTTTTGCTATATATGGAGGTTATATCTCATATATTGGAAGCTTAACAAGTTTGGAAACCTCTCTCTCTAAATCTCTCTCTCTCTCTCTTTCTCTCTCTATAATTTTGTGAGCAAAATTACAGCCTCTCTCTCTAGAAGCTTCTCTCTTTTTCTATATTGTGCTTAGAAGTGAGAATTTCCTATACTCTTGCAAAGAGACCCTAGACCAAACACCTCTACCTTGTTGTTGAGGTTCTTGAAGGTCCTATTTGAGCTCTCAAAGCTGGTTTTGGCTCAGATTTGCACCTGTCTTGCTGGTGCTTCAAGGGTAAGCACTTGTCCCTTTTAAGCTTGTCTTGCACACTTGTTTTGCCACATTTGCAAACTATTTTTGGCTTGGTTTTGAACTGAAGAAAACTCTGTTTTTCAGTCCTAAAAATTGTGGTTTAAGCCCCTTTTGAGTTTGAGGGTGGTCCACCTTTCTTGTCTCTTTGCTTGTTAAGATTTTGTGCCATCTTTCAAAGCTTTCTAAAACAACTTTTTTTGCCCTTTTAACCATTGAATTCCAGAGGAATTTTAGTGGTAGAAAGTTGGTTTTGAGGACCAAAATGGGAGGGGGTGGTCCCACTCTCCTCTTGTCTTGTTTGCAT